ATGTGGAAATCATCCTTATCGTCGATTTACTTTCTTGAAACCTGATTGATTGTTGACATATGGAAACAGGCGAATTATTTCGCCGCAGCCTGTCTCCAATTCACAACCGTCGGAAGCACGACGATATTAACTTCCACAAGTGGTACGAACTACGCTCGTTCTGTCTTCCCTATCTAGTACCTACTAATGCTGTATCACCGTTCAGCTAATCTCAGCCTCATGCTCCTGCAGGCGTCTGGACCTTGATACTCGGTGCTGTACTTGGCGTTGAGAAATTTACCATCCGCAAACTCCTGGGAGTTTTGGCTTCCTTAACCGGAATCATCCTAATCTCACGGGTTGACCTATCCGGCGAAAACAATGACGAGAACCGCGGCTCTTTCCCGCACAAGTCGGCTGGTGAGATTGCCATTGGTGACGCCATGGCCGCTTTCAGCGCCATTTTGTACGGCGTGTATACGATCGTGATGAAGAAACAAGTGGGAGATGAAAGCAGAGTTAACATGCCTCTGTTTTTCGGCTTGGTGGGATTCATCAATACTTTCCTGCTGTGGCCCTGCATGATCGTGCTTCACCTGACAGGCTGGGAGACATTTGAATTGCCTCCTACACGACGTATTTTGTTGATTGTCATTGTATGTATATCATACACATTCCGTCTTTTATTTTTGATTCTCTTGTTCTTTGACAAAATCTATATTAATCCTGCTAACAATTTTCCTAGGTCAATTCCCTCACCTCTCTTGTCTCCGATATTCTCTGGGCATATGCTATGCTCCTAACAACACCGTTGGTGGTCACTGTTGGCCTCAGTCTGACCATCCCTCTCTCGCTCGTTGCCCAGATTGTCATCCAGGGGCAGTACTCGAGCGCGCTGTACTGGCTTGGTGCGGCGATTGTGTTCTTTTCTTTCTTGGTTGTTAATCACGAGGGCAAGGGCGAATGATGAATCCCTTTCTTTCTCTTATCATTTTGTTTCCTCACACTTAGAGAACGATTTTCAACTCTACTATTTCTGTATTTTTTTTTTTTTTTGTCAGATGAAGTGGGATAGAAATTCGGGGATACAGTATATCATACACCTTTTCTTATATACCTTTCTTTTACTTTTTCATTTTCTGATAGGTTCTTTTATGTCTTTTTCTTTTTTGGGAAGACGGTTGGATTGGATTGTCCACCCTGGTGTTATTCTTCTCTTGCTTTATTTGCTTATTCCCAAGACCTATGTCTTTCAAGTCAGCGGTTACGCATGTGCGGGAAAACGGATGAGTGTTCAGTTTCTTTCTTTCGGTTTCATTTTTTTTTATTTTTATCTTTTCATCTTTGCTTTTCAAGTCTAACCAGCTGGGGACTTAGCGCCCCCACGCAAGGGGAGGCCCGATCTGATGATAAATAAATACCCAACGGTTGCGCTGGTTTTGTTTTCGTTGTTATCTGCTCGTTCGCCTATAAGATTATTACCTGCATTTGCGGCGCTTATTTCTGTCACAGAAGACAAATGGTTGATGCTTGCATGAGACCCAACCAAGGTCCAATTGAGTTGGCCAACTAAACAATGTCAGCCAGAGTTGGCGGTGGATTATATACAGTTTAGAGAAGCCCTGGCCTGGAGGCCTATATCGGAAGAATTAAGTGTAGTGTTTTTAAATGGGCACCCGTGGTGGGATGGTTGAAGATAACGAAAGTTTTGCGGCGATAGATTAGAGGTTATGTTATTAACTAGCAAATTACTGAAAATTGAATCATTATCTGGTTAGAGTTTGGCTTTAGCAATTGATAGATTGGTGTTGACATATATGCTGAGTGTTTGCGACAAATATTGGTACAAAGAATCAATTTTTCGAGGTTTTGGGATCATAATTCATCAAGTGCATTCATCAGACACCGCATTGCTTTTCTCGTATCGTCATGAACATGAATACCGATTTGAGCAGGGATATAAAACAAAGGGGATTGAAACCGCTAAAGTAGCCCAGGTACGTCCGTGGCTGCACCAACACAGAAGTGCGTCCACCACCACTAACAACTCTCTTGCGTACCCGAAGTGACTGGCCCAACATCAACACACGCATCACACTCTCCGCTGCATCCGTCAGAAGCCGCCCTGCCTCTGCAATGGCGGCCTCAAGAGAGATTGGCCCTTGCATTATGCTGGCAAAGGCGTCGATGCCAATCGAATAATTCGCCGCAGCATCGGGCCCCACAGTTCCCGCAAGCGCAATGACTGGCAGCCCATGTTTCTTCGCGCGCGAAGCAACCTCTGCGGGGATCTTGCCCAGCGGAGTCTGAGAGTCAAGCCGGCCCTCCGCAGTGAAGACCAGATGGCAGTTTCTGAACAGGTCGTCGTTGATGCCGAAGTATTCTGTCACAGCCTCGTAACGGGGCCGTAACTTTGCACCGAGCAGCAGGAGGCCGGTTCCCATACCGCCAGAAGCTCCGGTGCCAGGTGCGGTGGATATGTCGTATCCTAGCTTCCTGCTGACGACGGAAGCGTAGGCATTTAGTGCGGTGTCGAGGAGTTCGACCTTTGCGGGTGTTGCGCCCTTCTGCGGCCCGTATACGCGTGCAACACCCTTAGGGCCGCACAGGATGTTCTGGCAATTGCATGCGGCTTCGATATCCACCTGTTTTAGCCGAGGATGGAGGCCGGAAAGGTCTATATCTGCAACTGTGCACAGTGCTACCCCGCCGCTTGCCGGCGCAAGCTCATTACCGTGGGCATCAAGGAAACGTGCGCCCAATGCTTGGAGCATGCCAGCGCCTCCATCAGTGGTCCCTGAGTCGCCGCATCCGATGATGAGCCGCTCTACTCCCTCATCTAACGCCGCGCGCATCAGCTCACCGACTCCATAAGTGGTTGTGATCGTCGGGTCACGGGAGTCTTTGGGGACCAGGCGCAACCCGGCGGCGGAAGCCATTTCTACAACCGCTGTTTTTTTCGAGCGGTCGCCTCCAAGGATCCCATAGTGGGAGATGAGAGGAATCCGAATTGGGCCAGTGACTTCCAACTGCCGAAGTTCTCCACCAGTCGCGGTAGCCAATGCATGGGCGAATCCCTCCCCTCCGTCGAATAACGGGACTTTCCGTACGATTGCGTCTGGGAGGACGCGCTTAACCCCTTTTTCGATACAATCGGCGACAGCAAGTGTATCAAGACTCTCCTTGAATCCTGATGGGCAAATGAGGATGCTCAGGGGCGGTTCCGCTTTTGCCTGTGGCATTGAGACATTGATGAACCCATCGATTGTTCGCATCTGCATGGGAAAAGCTTTTGCTACCATTGTTAGATCGTGATCGCCGACAGCATGCAAACGAGCGTGTAAGTTTCCTTGATGCAAATATGGGTATAACGAGAATAATAAAAACGAATGTATTATTTTTTTCCTATTGCAATAATCGTGTTTCAACGAAAAGGTACGAGTCTACTCTACAAGGCGAGATGCGTCCTTGGGCGCCGTTTTATGTTCTGTGATGGTCTTACCGATGCTACCAGCAACCGTGCTGCGCAAAGGCCGTCTTACAAAAACCCAAATCCATTTTGAGATTTTGCTTCTACCATGCGCCTTGGAGAAATGGATGTTTTGATGGTCTGATCTACTACGTTCTTCATTGACGTAGGCTTGCCACATTCCACCCTGATGTTTAGTCTATATTTGGATTCTGCCAAGGATATTGCCCACAGAAAGGATACACGTGTATACTGACGCGTATCTGAGTACCTTAACAGCCAAGTCAATCATAACAGAGTGAAGGGTTGTCAACAACCAATGGGAGGGAGGCCTGGGGCATCACGACGATTTCTCCGTCTGAGATGATCGGGCATGGAGACAAAGAGACCACCAAACTTGAGCGGAAAAGGAAACCTGTAACGTGTTCAGCTACTGAATTTGGACTCGAACTCACATCCATTTGATATCATGCATTGGCCAGGTCCGCGAGACTCCCGTCACCTGTGGCCGTCACAGCTCCTGTCGACCGTTCGCTGTGTGAGAAATGAGAGGACATTTTAGCTCACATAACTGCATGGGCGAGGCGGGAAAGTTTCCGCCAGGGTGTAAGTGAGGCTAATTATATAGTAACGTTTGACGGTACAGACTTGCGGAGAAGTCTGATGTCTTTTCGGCTGTCAGTAGAATCTTGGGAAGGCGGTTGTCAGGACCCACTGTCGAAGGAGGAAACTGACTTTCTTCGGTTGCTCAGTGGACCGCTTTTGAAGTACAGAGGTTCCTGGCGGATCAAGAGTGCGTCGTCCTACAGCTCGTACTACTCAGGTGGAAGATCGCCCTGCAGTATCAAGCCACAGACACAAACAAAATCTTTGGCTGCAATTTCGAGAGATCTGCAGGTAATATTCTGGTTAGCCGAATTTTCTTTCTTTCTTTCGCATCTCCACTAATCAACTTGCCCCGATGCGCCGTCAAACGATCCAGCATACCAGCAGGGCTGAGGTATCAGTGATGGGGGAAAACAGAACCCTGCATGACCTCACTGTCTGCAGCTCCAGGACGTGGGATGGGCTCTGCTAGACTGTACCGCAGAGACAGTTCCATGGTAGCACGGCGGTAGCCCAACGACCGCCCCAGAATTAGCCCCAGAATTAGCCCCAGAATTAGCCCCAGAATTAGCCCCGGAATTAGCCCCGGACTAGCCCTACACATGGCGCCACTTTAATCCAAGGTCGGTGTGGCTGCGCAACCACGTCAGCCACGCGTCGTCATCGACGGCGGCTGTTGGGAACCCAATTGTGCAGTGTTCTCAACGCAGCCTCAGTGGGAGCTTCAAAAGTTCAGTGCTTCGCTGCCGAGTCCTTGTAGCTACCATGGATAGCAAGCTTGGCGCTGTTTCTCTTGCAGGGCCGCGTTTCGCGGTCTTGCCATTGACTTTTGAAATGTCAAGTGCAGCTTGAGCATGCCCTATCATTGCTCAGGTTTCTAGCCACAAGGGACAAGGTTGCTTTGGACATTGCCCGGTGATGATGCGTCCAGTTCTTAATAAGAGTCGTCTGCATAGTTACTATTCTCAGCAGTGCGGAATTTCTTTGAATTCTGCAGATTCAGCTAAAGATATCTGTAGCTGTCTCCTTTCCCGGATATTCTGATGCCTTTTTACAATGGCAGGTAGATCTACATATATGTCTGAATCTATCTCGTCCAATATGAAAATATTACCATCCACTCGTTTAGCTTCATTTTATATTTATTGTTTGAGAGTTTCGAACGCAAGGCTTCTTCATGAAACGACGCAATTCTCTTCCTTCCGTTCTCTCGCGGAGTTCGACAGTTACAGATGAATATCAAGTCCCTTCGTTAAGTCTCACATCCTGTGCTGAGAACTCCCACGACTTTCATGGTTGTAGATTTTCCAATCACCATCCTGAGAAATGCGGTGAGTATCCTAAACATGGGGAGCCCGAATGCCAAGCGATTGCCTGTAGCACAGGGCTCACAGCTTTTCCCTATTTAAGATGAGACACGTTATGGATATCATGGAAATGGAAGTGCAAACACGCCCACGATGGGATTATCACAGACACAAAGTCAAAGCAAAGATCCAAATCTGGTAAATTTTCCAGCTCTTGCCTCTCAGATGATTCGCATTGCTGAACAGGATAGGTCACTTGGTCTGGCCCAGAAGACCCTGAAAATCCTCTCAATTGGAGTCACCCTGCAAAATGGGCCGCCGTGCTTATCGTATCGTCGTTTACGTTCATCTCTCCCGTGTCATCTACCATGGTGGCACCGGCTTTAGCCGCCATAGGAAAGGAATTTGGCATTACTTCGTCCATGGAGCAAGTCTTGGTCATGTCTATATTCCTTTTGGCCTATGCTGTCGGGCCCTTTTTGCTGGGCCCTCTGTCTGAGATATTTGGCAGAGTAGTTGTCCTGCAGCTGGCAAATCTGTTCTACTTGGTATTTAACGCTGCCTGTGGCTTTGCGCAAAATAAGCAACAAATTCTTGCCTTTCGGTTCCTCAGTGGTCTTGGAGGAAGTGCGCCACAAGCTGTAAGTATACCCTTCTGAAAATAAAAAAAGAGGCATGCATAAGTTCTTTTCGTCCTAACCTTCTGGCACACAGCTGGGCGGAGGAGTCATTAGCGATTGTTGGAGAGCTGAGGAGCGTGGGAAAGTCCATCGCAATATACAGTTTGGCTCCGTTTATTGCCCCCGCTGTTGCCCCTATTGGTGAGAGCATACTCATGAAAAGAAAAAAAAGAAAAGGAACCCCCCCCCCCAAAAAAAAAGCCTGTACGAAGCTAACTACCCGCAAAGCTGGAGGTTTTGTGGCAAAACATACTACCTGGCGTTGGGTTTTTTGGTCCGTCTCCATTGCTGACGCAGGAGTTCAGGCCGTGGCTTTCGTATTCCTCAAGGAGACTTATGCGCCTAAACTTTTGGCGAATAAAGCCAAAAAACTACGACGGAGCACTGGAAACAATGCACTGCGGACCAAATGGGAAATGGAAAACCGTTCATTTGGTATGCTGTTGCGCAAAAGCCTCGTCAGGCCGTTCATCATGCTCGGTACACAGCCAACAATTCAAGCCCTCGCGTTATACCGAGCGTATTTATATGGCCTCATGTATCTGGTGTACGTATTGATGTCCATGAATATTTCTCATATTCATTATTGAGAAGCCAAGGGTAAAAAGGGAAAATGATTAACATCTCCCTACAGCTTATCCTCATTTCCCCTAGTCTGGGAAGGAGTCTACAAGCAAACCACCGACATAGCAAGTTTAAATTATCTATCCCTCGGTATCGGATTCGTGATAGGTCTGCAAATATGTGCTCCAATAATGGACAGGGTCAGTCAAGACTTTATGTATACTTCACGAATCCCACTTGGCCCCACCCGCTCTTCCACCCCCACTTCCTCCCCATCTTCCACACGGCGCTCCCTTGCAATCAGAAATCAAAGAAGCTCACCAACCACATCACCCTATAGATCTACATCCGCCTAAAGGCCCACTATAACCATCCAGGCCGTCCCGAATTCCGCATCCCCCTAATGATACCCGGCGGACTCCTCGTCCCCATTGGCCTCATAACCTACGGTTGGACTACCCAACCGCACATCCACTGGATAATTCCCAACATCGCTTCTGCGATCTTTGCGACGGGGCTCATCATCGGTTTCCAGTGCGCACAAGCATACATTGTAGACGCATATACGCAATATGCTGCTTCAGCAACAGGCGCCGCTGCCTTTTTGCGGACGTTGGCTGGGTTTAGTTTCCCGTTGTTTGCGCCGAGTTTGTATGTGCGGTTGGGTTTGGGTTGGGGAAATGCGTTGTTGGCGTTTATTTCGGCGGGGATGGGGATTGTGGCGCCTGCGCTGTTGTGGAGGTATGGGGAGTTTTTGAGGGGGAAGAGTACTTATTGTGCTGGGTGAATTTGGGGTTTAGAGCTAGACGCGTAGGGAAGGAGTGAGAATATGAGAAGAAGTGTATATATGACATGGAAGCAGTGTGAAAAACTTGGGGCGGTGGTGTTTTATCTCCTCCCTGCAATGAAAACCCTTTCTTTTTTATTTTATTTTTTTAGCTCTCGCTTCTTCGTGAAATTTCTAGAGAAAATAATGTGTGAATGAAATTGATATGAAAATGGAGAGATCGAGCGAAGCAGGACAGCATCAGAGCATGGACGGTTGCTTAACGCACCGAATCACTTGCCGCTTATGGTTTGAGAGATTAATTTCGAACTTGAAGTCCAACTAGAAGTATGATGGTTACATGTATTTATCTCATATATTGTTGTTCTATCCCTGAACTCCACCTCTCTGTTTACCCCACCTAAGGTGTAAAATGAAGTTTAGACTATTGACAAGAGAGAGAATGTAAAAAGAAAACTCCCATCTTCCCCGAAAGAAGGGCAACTTTAATTTTTCTTCCTCTTCTTCGCCAACCTCTTCTCGGCTCTAATATCCTTCTTCATCCTTGAATCCACAATTTTATACCTCCCCTTAATGCCCTTGGGCCTGCCAGAAATGCCCTTGTTGGCCCCTTTGGCCACAACAAGCTTCACAGTCTGCTTCGGCTTCTTCTTCATCGCGCGACTCATCATGCGCGCAATCGTCTGCGCCTTATCCTTCTCGCTCATCGCCTCGTCTTCCGCCAGCAATGCAGACTTCTTGCGCAGTTTCTCCAACCGCTGCGCAGCCTTGAACTTTTTGCGGCCCTTGGCTTCCAGTACCTTTTTGATAGGGCGGGCGTTTATGGCGCGCATCTTTTCACGGATAGCCGCGGCTGCGGCAGCAGTGATGGGCCTTAGGGGCTTGGAGTGTTTGCCCTCGTCATCTAGGAACCACTCTGGGAGTCCATCGGTGTCGCGGAAAGTATATCTGTTGAATCCGTCGTCGACAACGTCGTGGGTTGTTTTCTCGCCCATGGCGATTTGTTGAGCGAGAGCCATGGCTTCTGCTGTTATTATGTCGATGTCTGGGATGAATTTGTTAGCATCAATTACTTCTAAACTCAGGGAACTAACACGAGAGAAGGAGAAGACTCACCAAGTTGTCCATTCTTCTTCCGAGGGTCTTGTCTCTCCTCCTCTTCAAACTCAGGGTATATCTCATTACCCTTCGAGTTCATTTTACGTGTAGATTCTCGTTTCTCGGATGGTTGTTTCCTGTCCAGCTTTGCAGGTATTTGTATTTCTGGAACATCGTCGACACTATCAGAAACATCGGAATACTCCTCTTCATCTTCTGTGATGTCTTCTTGGTCCCGAGTTGCGGTCCCGTCCTTAGACCCTGCCCCTGGCACATCTTCTTCGTCGTCGTCACCGAGGTCTCCCAAGTCTTGGAATATATCTTGGTCGAAAAACATCGCAGCCCTGTTAGATAACCCTTTACTATCAACCGTAGGTCGCGGTATAGCATCTTGCAACCTTGCATCATCGCCATCTGTGTCCTCGTCGCCCTCTTTATCGGAATCAGAAATCCCTTCCCACTCTTCCGTTTCAAATTCTTTGCGAGCCTTTTTAGCACGTAATTTTGCATCCCGATCTTCCCTATCAGCTCGGTATCTCTCGTACATGGAATCTAACTCGCGCTCTAGCCGATCTTCCTCTTCGTCTGAATCATCTTCAACGGTTGTCGAATTATCATCTTCTTCGTCCTCATCACTTTCAATAGGCACCATTTTACCCCCCGTTATTTGGCTCCCCTCTTCCAGAGGCGTTTGACGGGCTTAAGCGCAAACATAGCCC